GTCTTTGAGAGAAAGAAAAGCACTCACATGTCTTTGAGAGAAAGAAAAGCACTCACATGTCTTTGAGAGAAAGAAAAGCACTCACATGTCTTTGAGAGAAAGAAAAGCACTCACATGTCTTTGAGAGAAAGAAAAGCACTCACATGTCTTTGAGAGAAAGAAAAGCACTCACATGTCTTTGAGAGAAAGAAAAGCACTCACATGTCTTTGAGAGAAAGAAAAGCACTCACATGTCTTTGAGAGAAAGAAAAGCACTCACATGTCTTTGATAGAAAGAAAAGCACTCACATGTCTTTGAGAGAAAGAAAAGCACTCACATGTCTTTGAGAGAAAGAAAAGCACTCACATGTCTTTGAGAGAAAGAAAAGCACTCACATGTCTTTGAGAGAAAGAAAAGCACTCATATGTCTTTGAGAGAAAGAAAAGCACTCACATGTCTTTGAGAGAAAGAAAAGCACTCACATGTCTTTGAGAGAAAGAAAAGCACTCACATGTCTTTGAGAGAAAGAAAAGCACTCACATGTCTTTGAGAGAAAGAAAAGCACTCACATGTCTTTGAGAGAAAGAAAAGCACTCACATGTCTTTGAGAGAAAGAAAAGCACTCACATGTCTTTGATAGAAAGAAAAGCACTCACATGTCTTTGAGAGAAAGAAAAGCACTCACATGTCTTTGAGAGAAAGAAAAGCACTCACATGTCTTTGAGAGAAAGAAAAGCACTCACATGTCTTTGAGAGAAAGAAAAGCACTCATATGTCTTTGAGAGAAAGAAAAGCACTCACATGTCTTTGAGAGAAAGAAAAGCACTCACATGTCTTTGAGAGAAAGAAAAGCACTCACATGTCTTTGATAGAAAGAAAAGCACTCACATGTCTTTGAGAGAAAGAAAAGCACTCACATGTCTTTGAGAGAAAGAAAAGCACTCACATGTCTTTGAGAGAAAGAAAAGCACTCACATGTCTTTGAGAGAGGCCAATTGTGTGATCCAGGAGGGCAGCGATTGGCTCAAATTGTTGCTGTCAAGATAACTGTTAGACCGTGCAGTGGCGCGGAATGGCATGGGAAGGGAAAAGACAAGGAAGCACGCAGAATGCGTTTTGGAGGAAAGAACGCACATAGCTTTTGAGACGTCTCAGAAGACGGACTCAGCAAGCACGCATGCACGCAACTCAAGCAGTAGGTTGCTTGTGAGCATGTGGCGAGTCTGGGTGGTGCTTGGTGAGGTTCAGAGTCAACTTGCAAGCAAGTTGCACGGTTCCAGTGGTTGTTGCAGTGACAGCACAACCGAGCATGACACAGGGCAACACAGACTGACTGGGCAACTGAACCCATACAGTAGCAAGACAAGAAGCACGTATGGCTGCAGGTGAGCTTAGCGACACAGCCGCATGGCTGATGGTGGGGCGCATGATGATGCTGCCTTGGAACCCAGCCAGCCATCCTACCTCTTTTCCTTCCACCTTTTGCCTGTTGCCCCCAGCAATGCACTTATCCTCCCACGCATGCACCTGTTTTGAGTCAACTCAAAACATCCTCCCATGCATGCACCTGCCCTCTGATGCACCCATTGCAGGTGGGTAGTGGCATTGGGACTCACAGGCTTTGCAACTGGGAGAGGCGGGAAAGGCTGTCGGGGATGGGGCCAGTCAAGGCGTTTTTGGCCAAGTTGCTGAGATGCGGTAGCATGGCATGGGGAAGGTGGCATGGGGAAGGTGGCATGGGGAAGGTGGCATGGGGAAGGTGGCATGGGGAAGGTGGCATGGGGAAGGTGGCATGGGGAAGGTGGCATGGGGAAGGTGGCATGGGGAATGTGGCATGGGGAAGGTGGCATGGGGAAGGTGGCATGGGGAATGTGGCATGGGGAAGGTGGCATGGGGAAGGTGGCATGGGGAAGGTGGCATGGGGAAGGTGGCATGGGGAAGGTGGCATGGGGAAGGTGGCATGGGGAAGGTGGCATGGGGAAGGTGGCATGGGGAAGGTGGCATGGGGAAGGTGGCATGGGGAAGGTGGCATGGGGAATGTGGCATGGGGAAGGTGGCATGGGGAATGTGGCATGGGGAAGGTGGCATGGGGAAGGTGGCATGGGGAATGTGGCATGGGGAAGGTGGCATGGGGAAGGTGGCATGGGGAAGGTGGCATGATTGCGATAGCTTGCTACTGGCGAATTCAGACCATGCACTCTCCAGCATCGCTCACAGTGACGTGATTTTCCCCATATTGCCGATGCCTTGGGGAATGCTGCCTGTGAACAGGTTGCTGAAAAGAGGTGACTTTTGAGTTTTTGAGACGTCTCAAAAGTGTTGTTTTGAGACGTCTCAAAACAAGAGGTGACTTTTGCATCGACTCAAAAGTTGCCTGTGAACAGGTTGCTGAATAGTGCCCTGCAACACAGCGAGCCAACATATGAGCACACATTGCACCACATTACAACACATTGCACTTTATTACACCACGTTACAACACCACACCACACAGCCTAGCCCATCCATCAAAGTGGCAAAAGGCAACAAAAGAGTACAATTCTTCGCATAAAGAGGGAAAAGACGGCTTCGCATGTTGAACGACGACTTGTGGTAAACACTGAGCTATGCTCACAAAACTTGTAGCTTGGTGAGGCTCCCAATGGAGTCAGGGATAGCGCCACTGAACTGGTTCTGCCACACCGACCTGTGTGCGCAAGGGTGGGTGAGTGGTAGAGTATGTGTAATGTGTCATTGTAACGAGGTGACTTTTGAGTCGACTTAAAAGTCAACTGGTTCTGCCACACCGACCTGTGTGCGCATGGGTGGGTGCGTGAATGGAAGAGAGCGAGGAAAGCTTTTGAGTCGACTCAAAAGAAGCGCCACTGAACTGTGTGCGCATGGGTGCATGAATGGTACATAGTGAGGAAAGCGCGGAGGCGTACGGGGGACAGAAAATGTGCCACGGGGATGGGTGCAACGCAACACGTGCATGGGGAAGGTTTCAAGTTTCTTGCGGATGCGAAAAAAGGCATAGGCAGAGCAGAGCATGGTAGAGGGAGGGAGTTTACAAGCTGTAGAGGTTGATGGCGCTGCCAAGTGATTCCGGTATGGATCCAGTCAGCTGATTGCCCACGAGGCTTCTGCAGAGCACCAGGCATGGGCAGCACAGGGGTGGTACATGCAGGCAGGCAGGCAGGCAGGCAGGAGAGCAGAGACGCGATATATGCATGCAGTAGCTTGACTTGAGACCCTCCCCTGGCACACACATGGCCGTGGTGAGACGATTTTTTAGTTTGAGTGGACTCAAAAGTCGTCTCATCATATGCAATATCTTGACTTGAGACTCTCCCTCCCCTGGCAACTTTTGAGTCGACTCAAAAGTCACAACGTCTCATCATCACATGCAATATCTTGACTTGAGACTCGCCCCTGGCACGCACATGGCCGTGGTGAGCTCGTTCCACAGATGACTTGACAAGACAAATGGAAAAGGTTGTGGTGTGTGTATGCTGGAGTGCAGGGGAAGTAGCATGTGTGTGTGTGTGTGGGTGGGTGTGTGTGGGTGTGGGTGTGTGTGTGTGTGTGTGTGTGTGTGTGTAGGTGTGGGTGTGTGTGTGTGTATGCGTGTGTGTGTGTGTGTGCCTGTGTCTGTGTCTGTGTGCATGGATGTGTGTGTGTGCGTGTGCGTGTGCGTGTGCGTGTGCGTGTGAATGCATAAGAGCGTGTGTGTGAGGGGGGGTGTTCAGATTCAGATCATGTGCATGTGTGTCAATGTTTGTGAGTGTGCGCTTGCATGGACACATTCTTGCAGCCAAGGGTTGGGACGCCAAGTGGAACCACAGATACAAGGGGATGAGAAGGGGTGAAAGGAGATGAGCAGGGGTGCAAGGGGATGGGGGAACGAGCAGGCGTGGAAGGGGAGAGAAGGAAGAGAGCGCACATGTATTCTAGTCGTGTGTTACTAGATACCCATGCTGGAAAAGGCCCTGTTAGATCCATGTAGCTGAGACCCCTGCATGCACACACACACACACACACACACACACACACACACACACACACACACACACACACACACACACACATATATACACACACACACACACACAGAGGTGACTTTTGAGTCGACTCAAAAGTTACCAGATACCCATGCTGCAAGGCCCAGTTAGATTCATGTAGCTGAGACCCTGCATGCACACACACACACACACACTCGCTTACACACATACATCACACACGCGCGCACATGCACAGACACACACACACACACACTCGCTTACACACACACGCTTACACACATACATCACACACACACGCACATGCACACACACACACACACGCACACACACTTGCTTACACACACACACTCACTTACACAGACACACGCACTCACTTACACACACACACACACACACACACATGCTTACACACATACATCACACACGCACGCACATGCACACATACACACACACAAGCGCTCACGCGCACACACACACACACACACTCACACACACACACGCAAACGCATGCACACGCGCACACGCAGATGTACATGCACTCATACAAGTACACACACAAGCACACATGCACGCACGCACGCACGAACATGGTTTACCCCCCACTCAACCCCACCCCTTTACCCTCCATCCCCTTCCATCCCCGCAAGACACACATACGTCAGTTGCTCAACAAGCACGCATGCACATGCAAACAGCATGCACATGCAAACAACAGGCACAAAATTCGCACACAGAATCAAATTCAGGGAAGTGCAAGCATGCTATCAAACCGTTGTGTGTGCAATGTGCATGCCCACATGCACAATGTGCATACCCACATACACAATGTGGCTAAAGACTTCTGAGACCCGAAGCGATCAACCTCTAGTGATGAACGGAAAGCTGCTTTCATTGCGATGCACTGAGAATGAGAAGCAAGGGCGAGGAGTGGCGCACAATGTAGAGGGGTCGACATTGAGTCGACTCAAAAGTCACAAGTCACCTTTTGAGTCGACTCAAAAGTCAGCTGGTTATTGGACTTACTTTTTCTCAGCCAGACGGCTCTTCTTCCCCGGTGGTGCCGCTGCTGCTGCTTCCCCTCCTGCTGCACCCGCCTCTCCTTTCCTCTTCTCCGCCCCTGCCGCCCCTGCCGCTGCCCCTGCCGCTGCCCCTGCCGCTGCTACTCCCTGCCCCTGCCCCTTCCCCTTCCCCTGCTCCTTACCCTTCTCCTGCTGCCCCTTCTTCCCCTTGGCACTGCTACCAGCACCGGCTGTAGCACCCGCCTCCTGAACCACGGGCTCCCCACTGGGAAGAGCGGCTACAGCCGCCTTCCCTGCTCCCTGCTTCTCGTCCGTGATCTCTACTATACGCACTGGAGGGAAGCAGAGGACGAGAAAGTAAGAGAAAAGGGGGGGGGGGGGGGGGGAAGGAAAAGGTTGCTACAGCTGCATTCCCTCCTCCCTGCTCCTCGTCCGTGATCTCTACTATACGCACTGGAGGGGGGGGAAGAGGGAAGGGGGCGGGGAGACGAAAACAAAATGTGCAAAGGGCTGCTACTCCCTCCTTTCCTGCTCCCTGCTCCTCGTTCCTGATCTCTACTATACGCACTGGGCGAATTGCGCGGGGGGAGGGGAGGGGTGGGGTGGGAAGGCTGGAAAGCCAGAGTAATAAAGAAATCCACAAGGGATTGATTGCCAGTCTATGTACCGGAGCGGACAACATACCTCCCGTCTGGCTGCTGTTTGCCAGCACCACCCCTTCCATATCATCCTCCTCCTCCTCTCATCCTCATCACCTTCCTCAGCCTCCTCCTAGCCCCCCACCAATGCATACCCTCATGGCAAGCATACCTCCCGTTTGGCTGCTGTTTGCCAGCACCACCCCTTCCATGTCATCCTCCTCCTCCTCATCATCATCATTCGTTCGTCCTCATCGCTTTCCTCACCCTCTCCTTTACTCAACATACCTCCGGTTTGACTGCTGTTTGCCAGCACCACGCCCTCCATCTCCTCATCATCATCCTCATCATCCTCCTCCTCGCTGTCGCCGAATTCAACCTCGTCCCCATCATCCTCATCGCTGCCTCCTATAAGCGCCCTCTGCCACTCCCTGCCGTTCACAAGCATTTTGGTAAAACAACAGGCAAAGAAAATAGGGGGTTTCAGTCTTCAACCTCGTCCCCATCATCCTCATCGTTGCCTCCTATAAGCGCCCTCTGCCACTCCCTGCCGTTCACAAGCATTCAGAAAAACAACAAGCAAAAAAAATAGGGGGTTTCAGTCTTCAACCTCGTCACCATCATCCTCGTCGCTGCCTCCTATAAGCGCCCTCTGCCACTCCCTGCCGTTCACAAGCATTCAGAAAAACAACAAGCAAAAAAAATAGGGGGTTTCAGTCTTCAACCTCGTCACCATCATCCTCGTCGCTGCCTCCTATAAGCGCCCTCTGCCACTCCCTGCCGTTCACAAGCATTCAGAAAAACAACAAGCAAAAAAAATAGGGGGTTTCAGTCTTCAACCTCGTCACCATCATCCTCGTCGCTGCCTCCTATAAGCGCCCTCTGCCACTCCCCGCCGTTCACAAGCATTCAGAAAAACAACAAGCAAAAAAAATAGGGGGGTTCAGTCTTCAACCTCGTCCCCATCATCCTCGTCGCTGCCTCCTATAAGCGCCCTCTGCCACTCCCTGCCGTTCACAAGCATTCAGAAAAACAACAAGCAAAAAAAATAGGGGGTTTCAGTCTTCAACCTCGTCCCCATCATCCTCATCGCTGCCTCCGATAAGCGCCCTCTGCCACTCCCTGCCGTTCACAAGCATTTTGGTAAAACAACAGGCAGAATCGCAGCAAACAAAAAGAGTCAAATACACATTATAAAAATAAACGGTAACTAGAACCGAAATCAGGCGAAAAAAGTCGTTGACTTCACTCCATTTAACTGAAACTCACAACGGCAGGTCAGCAAGGTGTGCGTCTTCCTCGTCCGTATCCACCTCTTCTCCTTCCTCATCATCCTCCTCGCTCTCCTCTCCCTCCTCCCCTTCCTCCTCCCCCCCCATCACCCCCTCAGCCATGTAATACCCTGACAAATGCACTGAGCACTTTCCTTCTCCTGCTGCCCCCTCTCCCTCCCCAGCCACCACCAGGCTGATCTCAAACGGCTCGTCCATCATCAGATCCAACGGACAGCATTCCATGGCGCCGCCCGCCGTCAGCGAGCAGATCATGATCGGACGGCTAGCATCCGCCGCAGCACCAGGAGCAGCCGCACCAGCCCAGGCTCCGTGACTATGGCTCTTGCCCTTGGGCTCACAGCAGCCGTTGACGGCGCAGCCACTCTTGCTGCTCCCAGGGCTGCCCTTAACGCTAGCAGGGCTCCCCTTTCCGCTTGCAGGACTCTCCTTACCTCCCCCCGGACTCGCCTTCCCCCCCGGGCTTCCCTTGCCCTTCGGGGTTCCCTCTGCCTTCCCTGCCTTTTCGGACGCTACATGGTCCCCCTCCTCCTCCCCCTCCTCCCCCTCCTCCCCTTCCTCCCCCTCCTCCTCGCGCGTTGCTAGCACCCTGACTCGCACGAGCACGCGTTTGTTGAGGGGACAGTCAGCCCCGAGGACAGCCTGAGGGGTGGAGGGGTGCAAGGGGGTTAAGGGTTTAAGTAGGGAGGGAGTGTGTTGACTCGCACCAGCACGCGTTTGTTGAGGGGACAGTCAGCCCCGAGGACAGCCTGAGGGGTGGAGGGGTGCAAGGGGGTTAAGGGTTTAAGTAGGGTGGGAGTGTGCTGACTAGCACCAGCACGCGTTTGTTGAGGGGACAGTCAGCCCCGAGAACCGCTTGACTAGGGGGGGAAGTGAGGCGAGGAGAGAGGGAAGAGGGTTTTACAGGTCAAAAAATTGGGGCCTCGGGCAGGTGAGATGGGCGGGTGGGAGTATCTTGACTCTCACGGAAAGCATCTACTGAGGGGCCAGTCAGGCCCCAGAACAGCCTGAGGGGTTAGGGTTTAAGTTGATGTCGGTGTTTAGGGTGAATAGTTAGACAGGGTTGAGGTTTAGGTTGGATCTCTGGTTTGTGTCGGAGTTGACGCCTGGGTGAGGTGGGTCGGTAGGAACTGGGTTTGCAATCCCCAGTGAAAAACGGAGAAGGGAACGGAAGCTGAAGGAACAGCTTAGGTCAGAGTGAGTGTGCGGATGATAAAGATGCTGAAGGAGTAGGCGCACTGCAAATGGTTTGTTGGAAAAAACTATAGCAGGATGGTATCATGCTGAGTAGTGAAGCGGGTGGGGGCCTGTATTGTTCTGACAGGGCACGAACGGATTCAGGATTTTACACGAGGAATACCTTGGTGAAGGGTTTGAGGTATAAGAGGTTCAAGGTTGTAAATCAACTTCCAACAGTCGGTTTTTATGTTTCTCACATGGTGCGAAAAGCCTGATATTATCTGTAAATGTTAAGGGTTCTATCTTATAAAAGTTTACATAAGAAAAGGTTTTACCTGGTGGAGAGTTTACCAGAGAAAGGTTTTACCTGGGAGATATGAAGCGGCCCTCCGGTGCCATCTTCAGGGTCGCACACGATTGGCTCGCCCTGCTTCACCTCCACGCCTGGCGCACGTGATTGTAACGAGGGCGAGCGGGGAGAGGGTGGAGGAAGAGGGTGGGAAGAGAAAAAGAGGGGGGGAAGAGGGGAGAGGAAAGAAGAGGGGGGGGGGCGGGGAGGGGACTGAGGATCAACAAGGGATGTTGATCGGGGAATCTCTTTTGTTGATGAGGCTCAACCGAGGACCCAGAGCCCCCAGGGCTGTCTGCTTGTAGCCCTCCTCACTGATCCCGCCGGCAATCCCGGTGCTCCTCTTCTCACTGATAGCCGACCGAAAGAGGTGCTACGCGATTGGGTGGCCGGGTGTGCAAAGAACCAGAATTACTTTTAAGCCAATTCTGGTTCTTCGTTTCTTGCCGGATCAGTGATCGCCAGAGGCACGCGGGGACGGGGCGGCGGATGAGGGTGCGGACAAAAGAGGGACGAGGGTGCGGACAGAGCGGGGACGAGGGGGCGGAAGCGGAAAAAGGGACCAACTAGGAGCGCATTGAAGTTACTCAAAACACAAGGGGAAGGAAGCGCGGACGCAGAGACGGACACGGCACGAAACAGGGCGGCAAACTCGCATTAGGACCAACTGGGACGAGGCTGATCGGCGGGGGGAAGGGGGGAGAGAGGGGGGCGACGAGGCTGATCGGACTCGCTTCTTTGAGGCGCAAGGCCGAGTGGCGTGATCGGCGCTAATGAGATGCACGTACCCCAGAAGAGCATGGTGCCGTGCTGCGATTTGCTCTGCTGTGCGGTGCCGCGCGGTGCTGTGCTCTGCTCTGATCTGCTTTACAGCATACGAGAGAACAACGAGAGAGCGAGACGTCTATCTAAAATGACGCTCTCGTGCGGGCGGAATGAATAAAGTGCAGTGGAGTGGAGGAGCGAAGCAAGTGCAGGGAAGGCCGTGCTTCGAGAGGTTTCGGGCTTAGCTGTGTCCGGCGGGCTGGCGAAGAGCGTGCGATCGGCGGCCGTAGTGTGCGGGCTTCGCGAGACTTCTACGAGGAATCAGCCCATAATGACTACTGCTGGGAATTTATCGTTATAGACATGTTCCAATGGTGCCTTCTGTTTTAATTGGGTAATAAAACACTAATGCTTGACCATCAGAATTAGCATCATCAGATGTATTATGACCGCTATCCTATGTGCTTTTTACCAAGTTTTATAACTGTCTGAGTGTGATTTAAATTGATAGCTAAAGTCAGCCGCCAATGAAAGTGACGAGTGTCATTGCAATGTTATTACAGATACCGGCATGATAACAATATTTAAATTCCCAACCACCGTATATTGCACTTGTATCGAGGATTCGCGGTTGCAGCAGATTGGTCACATTTCTTCAGCAGTACAAGGTCCTCGGAATTCCATTTCCGCAATTTTGACTCGCGAGATTCCTGTCTTCCACTCAGAATCGGTAACGGCTCATTCCTTGCTGCCTGTTCTCTAGTTTTCTTGCCATGGCGTCTCAGGCAATCCTGGACTGGCAGTTAGACGAGGACAGGTTCGTGGGTCTTCTAGAAAAGCTGATCAACGAGGCGCGATACCTTCAGGTGAGGATGTGTTCGCGTCTCGTTTGTCGTTCAGCTGGCAGCTGGCAACAGGAGTAGCTCCAGTGGTGTAGCGATCCTGTTTTATCATCTTTGCAACTTACATATCGTGTCGTAGTTTTCTTTCGTTCTTTCTTTCTTTTCGAATTGCCGAGTTGATCAAGTCCCGCTTCAGAAACATCGCTCTGAGTGACTTATATTCACTTTTGCCATCGTTCTGTCTCGACCATTCTGCAAGACGCCATCCTTGTTTCGTCTTGTTCTGTTGGGTGAAGGACCGACAGCTGTTATCGGTCGACCTGGTCCCTCCTTACCTTGAATCTGATCCCTCTTTTCGCGCTTCGAAACCATCGCCGCCCGTTGTGTTTGTGTGACTGTATCGAATGTCCTGCTGGCTGGCAGAACAACCCCCCCGAGTGCGTGCCCAAGGAGGACCGCGCAGTGCGACACGTCCTCGACGTGCTACAGCCCTACAGGTACCTGGTACTTGAACTGAAAGCTCTATAATATTAACCAAGCTCTATAGCTCTACAGCCCTTACTCAATCTATGAGAGCCGTGCAGAGCAGAGGGCGGTGAGACATGTTGTTGACGTGCTACAGCCCTACAGGTACCTGGTACTTGAACTGAAAGCTCTATAATATTAAATCAAGCTCTATAGCTCTACAGCCCTTACTCAATCTATGAGAGCCGTGCAGAGGAGAGGGCGGTGAGACATGTTGTTGACGTGCGTCGATTTTTTAGTCGACTCAAAAGCCGTGCAGAGCAGAGGGCGGTGAGACATGCTCTTGACGTGCGTCGATTTTTTAGTCGACTCAAAAGCCGTGCAGAGCAGAGGGCGGTGAGACATGCTCTTGACGTGCGTCGATTTTTGAGTCGACTCAAAAGCCGTGCAGAGCAGAGGGCGGTGAGACATGTTGTTGACGTGCGTCGATTTTTGAGTCGACTCAAAAGCCGTGCAGAGCAGAGGGCGGTGAGACATGTTCTTGACGTGCTGCAGCCGTTAAGGTATCTGTTTCTTGAGAGATTTAAAAAAAGTGGTCCCCCTATATCCAAGAACCTTGTTGCAGTGTGCAGGTTAGACGTGTGTAGGACGTGCTGCAACAATAGAGTTACCAATTTACTTTAGGTAAATAGTGAGAGTTCTGTAATTTACGTTAGGTAAATAGTGAGAGTTCTGTAATTTACGTTAGGTCTACAAGAACTTTGCAGTGCGCAGTGCGACGTGTGTGGGACGTGCTGCACTGCACACGTCCCATACAGGTACCTTTCTCTGGAGAGCATTAGTACCTCCCTCCCTTATTCATAAAAAGGGCTCGCACCCCTCCAACGTCCTCTCCTTCCTTCGCTCACCCACTTCGCCTCCTCCCCTCTGTCTGGTCACCCCTTGGGTCCGCCTCCCCCCCTCTGTCCTATCTTCCTCCCCCCACACGTGAGTGCAGTGAGGAGGAGGGTGGGCCGCTGCTCATCCAGCATGTGAGCTACGTGGAGGGGCGGGGGAACCTTGTCGTCACATACAAGGAGGATCTACTCACACCCCTCTAATGCCCTCCACTCCTTTCAACCCCTCAGTTCCTTCACCGACTCTGTCCCCTCCCCCTGGATTGTGTGTGCTGTGCAGTGAGGAGGAAGGAGGCCCCCTGCACATCCAGCACGTGAGCTACGTGGAGGGGCGGGGCAACCTTGTCGTCACATACAAGGGCTCGCTCGTTCAACCACTCTGTCTGTCCCCTCCTTGGGTCCTCTTCCCCCCACTGTGTTGTGCAGTGAGGAGGAGGGCGGGCCGCTGCACATCCAGCATGTGAGCTATTTGGAGGGGCGGGGGAACTTGATCGTCACGGACAAGGGCGCGCACCCCCTCTGTTTTTTCTTTCGCCCCCAACCCCCCAACTGTTTCTGCAGTGAGGAGGAGGGTGGGCCGCTGCACATCCAGCACGTGAGCTACGTGGAGGGACGGGGAAACTTGATCGTCGCGTACAAGGGCGCGCACCCCTCTAAGGTTCTCTCCTCCGCTCACCCCCTCTGTCCTTTCCCACTGGATTGTGTGTGTTGTGCAGTGAGGAGGAGGGCGGGCCGCTGCACATCCAGCATGTGAGCTACGTGGAGGGGCGGGGGAACCTCATCATCACGTACAAGGGCTCGCACCCCTCTAACGTCCTCTCCTTTGTGGGCTGCCACATGGATGTCGTCACCGCCAACCCTGATGACTGGGTGGGTTGGGTAACATGCTAGGGCTCAGGGCTTGCTAGGCCAACCTGCCTGATCATCACATACAAGGGCTCGCACCCCTCCAACGTCCTCTCCTTCGTGGGCTGCCACATGGACGTCGTCACCGCTAACCCCGACGACTGGGTGAGCTGGGTAGCTTGGTGGGGCTCGCACACGGGCTTGCTAAGGGTCACACGAGGGCTTGTCGGGGCAACTTGATCATCACGTACAAGGGCGCGCACCCCTCTAACGTCCTCTTGTAGTGAGTCGATTTTTGAGTCGACTCAAAAATCGACTCACTACACGAGGGCTTGTCGGGGCAACTTGATCACCACATACAAGGGCTCGCACCCCTCTAACGTCCTCTCGTTTGTCGACTGCCACATGGACGTCGTCACCGCTAACCCCGACGACTGGGTGAGCGGAACAATGCGGCTGGTATTCCGGGTGTATGTCTGTTATGTGTGGTTGGTTGCCCTTGATGTTAATGGGTACCAACATTCCCTCTAACGTCCTCTCCTTCGTGGGCTGTCACGTGGACGTCGTCACTGCCAACCCTGATGACTGGGTGGGTTGGGTAACGTACTGGGGGCTCAGGGCTTGCATAAGGGCTTGCTAGGGAACATCATTATCACGTACAAGGGCGCGCACCCCTCCAACGTCCTCTCCTTCGTGGGATGTCACATGGACGTCGTCACTGCCAACCCCGATGACTGGGTGGGTTGGGTGACTTGGGTAACTTGCTTGTGCGACGGGGTGTTTCTGGTGTAATAGAATTACACTAGCCTAATTCTCCTGGGGGTTTTGACCTAGGTACGACCATCCGGGTCTGCCTGGGTGGTGATTGTTACGTTGTCCACACACTCATCCTTCTCTTCTTTCCGTTCCTTGTGCGGCGCTTCCTTCAAATCGTCGACCCCTTTACCTTCTACCGAGACGGGGATAGGCTGCGGGGCAGGGGCACCACGGACTGCCTTCACCTGAACCATCTCTCTGCCGTGGACCTCACACAAGCTTCTTTCTTCCCCCCTTTCTACTCAATCAGGACTTCGACCCCTTCACCTTTTCTCGGGATGGAGACAAGCTGAGGGGCAGGGGCACCACGGACTGCCTGGGCCACGTGGCGCTCGTCACGGAGCTCATGCGCCAGCTGGCAGTGTGCCGCCCGGAGCTGGGCGCTACAGTGGTGGCGGTGCTGATAGCCAATGAGGAGAATGCAACGGTGAAGGACATTGGAGTGGATGGGCTCGTGAAGGCGGGACTGCTGGACCACCTCAGGAATGGACCACTGTAAGTTCCCCTCGCCCTCTCCTCCCTCCTGTTCCCCGCCTCTCGTCTCCCACCGCTCTTCACGTGGACTTCTGTGCTGATAGCCAATGAGGAGAATGCAACGGTGAAGGATATTGGCGTCGATGGGCTGGTCAAAGCAGGCATGCTGGACCACCTCAAGCACGGTCTGAGGTGACTTTTGAGTCGACTCTTGAGTTGACTTTTGAGTCGACTCAAAAGTCAAAGCAGGCATGCTGGACCACCTCAAGCACGGTCTGAGGTGACTTTTGAGTCGACTCTTGAGTTGACTTTTGAGTCGACTCAAAAGTCAAAGCAAGCATGCTGGACCACCTCAAGCACGGTCTGCTGTAGGTTTCCCCTTCGCCTCCCACCCTCCTTATCCCACACGTTTTTTTCCTTGGCACTGGCAATCACTCTGCTGTGGATCCAGCGTCAGCCACCCCTCATCGTGTCACAGCGTCAGCCACCCCTCATCGTGTCACAGCGTCAGCCACCCCTCATCGTGTCACCCCCCTGAATGAAGCCCATGGGTAGTTGGAGGGACAAACACACAGGTCGGTTGGTATTCAAGAATTCTTGTAGACAGACAAGCAATCTCTTTCAACGGGAGGATGGAAGGATAAGCTGGTAAAGGCAGCCCTTTCATTTTGAACCTTCCTTGTGCATTCCCCTTGCCAGTCCAATGAGATCAGACCTCTCGCCTGCCCTCTGCCTCATGCTCTGACTCGCCTTTCAAAACTCGTCCCAAAACTCGTCTCTCAAACCTCTTTCCAAAACTGCTCTAAAGACTCAGACCTCTCCTCTATCCTCTCCCCGCCATTTTCTCAAGCCGTCCTCTCTCTTCTTCCATGTTCCCCACATGCCACGTGGCAGCTTCTGGGTGGACACAGCGGACAAGCAGCCGTGCATTGGCACGGGGGGCATGCTGGCATGGAAGCTCAAGGCGTTCGGGAAGCTCTTTCACTCGGGCCTGCCGCACAAGGTGATTATTTCTCCTATCCCTTTTCATGGGGCATGCGGCACAAGGTGAAGTGCCTTGTGCTCGTCGCCACACATACGGTATGAAGCCGCATGTGTTGGCCCCACAAGGTGCTCTTAACTGGTCAAGGCGGACAAGCAGCCGTGCATTGGCACGGGGGGCATGCTGGCATGGAAGCTCAAGGCGTTTGAAAAGCTCTTTCACTCAGGCCTGCCGCACAAGGTAATGTCCTGTATCACATGTATTTTACCCACAAGGTAATGTGCTGTATCACATGTATTTTACCCACAAGGTAATGTCCTGTATCACATGTATTTTACCCACAAGGCGCTCTCTTAAGTGGCACAAGCAGCCGTGCATAGGAATGGGGGGCATGCTGGCATGGAAGCTCAAGGTAATCCCGTATTTCTTAACCTCAAAAGAGAAGCTCCAAAAGTGGCACAGACGAAGCTCCAGGCGTTCGGGAAGCTCTTCCACTCGGGCCTGCCGCACAAGGTGAAGTGCCCTGTCTCGCCGTTCGTATGGACTCGCATGTGCTTGCTTGCCACACAAGGTGCTCAACGCTCGTAAGTGGTACAAGCGAAGCTCCAGGCGTTCGGGAAGCTCTTCCACTCGGGCCTGCCGCACAAGGTGCGCTCTTGTTTCACATGTGGTTTACGCACAAGGTGCGCTCTTGTTTCACATGTGGTTTACGCACAAGGTGCGCTCTTGTTTCACATGTGGTTTACGCACAAGGTGCGCTCTTGTTTCACATGTGGTTTACGCACAAGGTGCGCTCTTGTTTCACATGTGGTTTACGCACAAGGTGCGCTCTTGTTTCACATGTGGTTTACGCACAAGGTGCGCTCTTGTTTCACATGTGGTTTACGCACAAGGTGCGCTCTTGTTTCACATGTGGTTTACGCACAAGGTGAAGTGAAGTGAAGGATCGCACGGCAGGCATAGAGCACCTTGTCTGTCTCAATGCATGGCGCTCAAGTATCAGGCATCGAGCTCACCATGACAGCACTGGCCGAGACGAGATGCATTCCCGCTTCTACCGCCTTCTGCTATGGCCCGTGACATCACCCAGCCCTCTAGACTCCAACTCCACCCCTCTGAACTCCTGTCCGCCCCCTCACACTCCTCTCCAGGCAGTGAACCCCATCGAGCTCGCCCTTGACAACACTGGCAGAGATGCAGACCTGCTTCTACCGCCTTCTGCTGTCTCATCACCACTCCTGTTCATTCCAACTCCACCCCTCTCCACTCCTTGCTCTTTCTCTTGTAAACCTCTCCAGGCCATCAACCCCATAGAGCTGGCCATGACAGCACTGGCGGAGATTCAGACCCGCTTCTACCGTGACTTTCCTCCTCACGAGATGGAGAAGACGTATGGGTTCGCCACACCATCCACCATGAAGCCCACTCAGTGGTCGTGTGAGTGGTGCTGGATGAGGTGTGTGTATGGTCATGTGTGTGTGGGGGTGGGGGTGGGGGTGGGTGTGGGGGTGGGTGTGTGTGTGTGTGAGTGGTGTGTGAGCAGAGCACCCACTGGGCACTTTATTTATGTATCCACGGCCTGGTCATACTCCCTCCTTTCTTCCCGCAACTGCCTTCTCCTCCTCCTTTCCTTGCACCATTTGCTTCCTATGCTTACCTTCGTGAACCCTATATCGTATTCCCGAAACCCTTAACCGTCATTTCCTCAACTCTCCCAACTGCTGCTTTCCACAAGTCTCCCTTCCACAATTCGTTTCCTGGGCCTACCTGGGATCTTGAGCCCACTCAACCCTTAAGCCACGTGTAATGAGGTTATTTTTGAGACGTCTCAAAAACTTCCACAATTCGTTTCCTGGGCCTACCTGGGATCGTGAGCCGTCTCAAGCCCTGAACCTTGAAGCCGGTTCTTTTTTGTCCTTTCTGTGGCTGTACCAGATCCGGGCGGCAGTGTGAATCAGATCCCAGGGGAGTGCACGGTAGCAGGGGATTGCAGGTAGGGTCGCTGGTTCGCTCTCTCCTTTTCAGTCCATCGTCATTCCGCTGTTCCCTTCTATACTCATTATTACACACCTTTTTTCAGGCGCCTAAAGAATCACCTCCTGACTCGCTATTCCCATTAATACACAATACTTACCTAGGCCGTTCTCCTCGTCTCCCTCACATGTTCTCACTCAGTTGGATCCATCCTCCCTCGTTTTCCTCCTTGTTGTTAGACTGAGAAACAGTCAGGCTTTCTTCTGAGTAAAATAAAAACTATACCCTGACTGTGCTGCACTCTCTGGGACCCGCCGCTTTGTCCAATTCCCAAGCACCGTTGTGTTCTCCCAAATTTGAAGTACCCATTGCCGACTTTCGAGGTGCCTCAAAAGTCACATGCATGCGCCTTGTGCCGTCCTTTCCCGTAACTGATAGCCATTGCTCATGTTTCCTCCTTCTCCAACCCATTTTCATTACCTCATCACCCTCCCGATGTTTCGTTCTTCACTCTCTGCCGTCTCTTCCTCTTAACGCATTTCTCTTTACTCATCCCATCCCATCCCATCCCATCCCATCCCATCCCATCCCATCCCATCCCATCCCATCCCATCCCATCCCATCCCATCCCATCCTCATCACTCTGCCCTTCTTCCTGCCCTCAACTCTTTGCCGTTCACTTCCCTTCCTTCCATGTAACTCTGGCGGTCGACACGTGTGCCTACGTTGCACTTGCCAATCCCCTGTCTTTTCGCACCAAACAACATCAGGATAACGCCATTTTATGAGTGAGTGATCTATGTGTGTGCGTGTTTTTTTTAGGTATGTCAAAGTGAATGTGCTGTGCCATTCCATCCATAAGTGAGAGAGAGTTCCTCGAGAAGCTGTGATTTGGAGTCGCTTTTGGGTCCTCTTTCAGTCGTGTTTTGAGACGTCTCAAAACACTACTTCAAACACGTGGCCATCCATAAGTGAGAGAGAGTTCCTTGAGAAGCTGTGATTTGGAGTCGCTTTTGAGACCTCTTTCAGTCGACTCAAATGACATCAAGATAATCTATGAGATCGCCAACCAGACATGCACATGCTCTCATGTGCTACCTGGCCCACAAACTCAGAACTCAGTTCACTTCTCCCGATGCTCCTTCATCTCTCCCCCTCTTGCTGCAGTGTGGATGAGGTGGCAGCGAAGCGAAGGGAGTATGTGGCAGACATAAACGCCAACCTGCACCCCATACTCTCACGTGTTACTTGGGCTACAAACTCAGACCGCACTTCACCCCTCCCCATGCCCTCCCACCCCCCACCACCACAGTGTGGATGAGGTGGCGGCGAAGCTAAGGGAGTATGTGGCAGACATAAACGCCAACCTGCACCCCATACTCTCAGGCCCTGTGTCACCAACTCAGACCACACTTCACCTCTCCCCATGCCCTCCCACCCCCCACCACCGCAGTGTGGATGAGGTGGCAGCAAAGCGGAGGCACTATGTGGCGACGTAAACGCCAACCTGAACACGCTCTCAGGCCCCTGGATCGCTTTTGAGAATTCTCAAAAGCAACCTGAACACGCTCTCAGGCCCCTGGGGCCACCGATTCAAGACTACACTTCAAACCTCCTCATGCTTCCCCCCACCTCCCTGTACCTCTATCCACCGCTGCAGTGTGGACGAGGTGGCAGCAAAGCTGAGGGAGTACGTGGCAGACATAAACGCCAACCTGTCCACGCTCTCAGGCCCCGGGCCCTGCTCGAAATTCGTTCTGCCCGAAGAGAATTTGCAGGGCAGGCGCGAACACGTTGTCGATCTGTTTTATGAGGGAAAACGAAATGGAGAAAAGAAGAGACGGAGGAAGGGAAGAAGTTGAATATTTGAGGCAGATAGCAGGGGAACTGAACTAGAAAGGGGCAGGGAATGTGGAGGAAGGAAGTCGGTTGGTGCAGGGAGTATGAGTGAGCGAGTGAAGCTTCAATGTAAACATGCCAATCTTTTTGCCCTTGCACCCAATTCCTTCCCCTCCCTCTCCCATGAGCCAACCCCTTCCCCTAACCTCCCCTTCAGGCTTGAGCTGGAGATAGCAGAGGGGCCGATGAAGGGTGTGGCCTGTAACCTGGACTCGCCTGGTTACCACGCGCTGGTAACCGCCACAAAGGAGGTGATGGGCGAGTGCAAGCCGTACTCCATCACGGGATCCCTGCCGTTGATTCGCGATCTGCAGGAGGCAGGATTCGATGTGCAGACCATGGGATATGGTGAGATCCGATTTGATTTTATTTTCGCCGCTCGGTAGTACCTCATCTGCTTGTTTTGGAGCATCTGATATGGTGAGAGATTGGATTGTGGTGAGAATAGAGGTTGGGTTTTATTGAGACCTCGTCCATGTGATATGCTGAGAGTGTGAAACGGGATTTAATTACATTATAATATTTAGTGAGAGTGTGGGATGTGGCGATGCTTTTATGCCCCAACTTACCATTGCTTCATGGGATCTTGTTCTCACATCCCTTTCCTTTTTCTTTTATCTAGGAGCCACGAAGTTCACCTTTTCCTGCACCCACCCATACGCTTTCTGGTATGCTCTATTTCCTATGGCAGGTGTCATGGCCACTTATCATGCACGAAACGAGTATGCGCTACTATCCGACTTCAAGCTCGGCTATCGCGTCCTTACCAACCTCATACATAACCTCTCGTAATTCAGATTGAAGAATTAAACGGCTTGTACAGGTGGGATTTATTTCCCTGTTTACTATATGTGTGTGGAGGGTTGTTAAGGTTTATTAACAGCACTTACGTTAAGAACAAATATTACAGATACAAGAATGTACAGGTGTAAGGAAAATTCATTTTCCTTACTTCGCGTCCCTGCTTACCGCGTACTTGCCCGTTCCCGCCATCGGCACCCATCCGTGAACGTTACCCGCTCGCGACATTCGCCTCGACCACGACTCCCGCCACTGTTCACGATGCGACCCAACCTTACGGTTCGGTTGGTAACCCGCGCTCCGGACCTCCGCCTCGACAATTCCCAACCTCGGCGCTAGGCCCGTAGCGCACCCCAATTTCCCGCATTACCGTTACCACGCTAGCTTCGCTATATAACTTTGCTCATGCCTTTCGCTCAACTGAATTGGTTTGCTTCGATAGTGCAATTCTCACTCGCTCGCTCAATTGCACTCGTAACAACAGGCTTGAAATAAGCCAGACGAAAATGAGTTTTGTGTAATTACTGTTACACTTTAGGGCACCCAAAAGCAGCACTCTACAACGGGAAAATATGCGAATGGTAACATACATGGGGCTTTATAACACGTACGGTAACCATAACAATGAATTTTCACGCGTTTGGTAACTCGATTCACGCATTTGGTAACTATACACTGGCAAGCCATCACGCGAATGGTAACTACAAGAAACCCTCGTCCAACTTGACCCTGATTCTGGGTTTTCCCGCTCGCGCCAGACTGAATTGACGAGTCCTGAAGCACGAAATTCTGACACACTTTCGGAAATTCTGACACACTTCCGAAATTCTGACACACTTTCCGAAATTCGGACTATTTCGTAAAAAGTTGCCTTTTTGAAAACCGTTTCTCATATAATGCTGATATTCTGGCGCTCGCGGAAAATTAATTTTAATTAATTCTATCGTACAACCGGGGCAAACAAAAATATACCACTTTCGGATGGCAAATGAGGGTCCATTCTTGCCTCGTGTCTGACATCAGGTCATCCGCCCTTAGTCTCTGATTCGCCTCTTCCCAAGTTGATTTGCCCCTATTTCGAGCCACTTCGGGTCTTCCGAGCCTCCAAGGGCGGATGACCTGATGTCAGACACGAGGCAAGAATGACCCTGATTTTGAGAGCATCAACCCTAAACTCCTTGCGACAAGGCGTTCAATGTTATTTCTACAATAAAAGCATACCATTCGGAAGGGTATTATTTTCCCACCTCCAAAATTATCCCACGTTGCATTAGTTACACATTTTTTAAATAAAATTATTGTCGCTTTTCCGGGAAAATTTCATCATTTTTCAATTATGCAATCATGCTTGTAAAAATATAATTGTACTTGTTAGTACTATATTTCCGAGCTTAAAATAGATATGAAACGGCTCTGAAACTATTTGGTCCGTGGTAATTGAACGAACGCGATCCTTCAATGTCACGGCGGGAATCATTCAAGATCGATAAAACGGTCCGTGAAATCTTTCCATTTAACAAACTCCTCTTAGTCAGGATCATTTCGGCGGGAGTTTCATCTATTTACCATTCGCGTGATAATTCGCCTGTGCTAAGTTACCAATTGCGTGAAACGAGTTACCAAACGCGTGAAAATGTACTGTAATAGTTACTGTACGCGTTAAAGAGCCCCATGTATGTTACCATTGGCATACTTTCCCCTCTACAACAATGCGATACGCTCACGGCTACAGTATGCCGCCTGGTCCCAACAACCATGGACTGTCTCGCAACCACAAATTTGTCGCGAGGAGAAGCACGAGCGGCCCCGACTAGACACGTTACCGCGTTTTGACGAGTGATTGCGACACGCGTTAGTATTCGCAAACACGGAGAATATCCAGGAAGAGCAATCCCAAGGACAGACAAAATTCCCAAAATAGAGAAACAGTCCCTAGGGTCAAGGACAATATCTAGGTCAAAATGATAAGTCTAGGTATGTGCTTTCTAGGACAAAGGCACTGGCTGTGAGTTATATGCTTCCTTGGTTTGTCAGGGCTTGTTATGAGATAAAGCGATAGGAACAGCCGACAAAGAATGGAACTCCAGGCGAATAGATCAGACGGCAACAAATGCAGGCTAAGAATACACGTGGCGATGTTTACGAAAGGTTAAGTTACCTCGAGAGTCAAAGGGTCGCAAGGTAGCCATGGCTGAGCCCGAGGAGTATTTAATTTATTACGCCGCTATAGTTTACCGCGGTACAATTCTTTACGCGCACAGCAGCTTTCCCGGGGACTGCACCTCCATTATCGCGGAAGCTATGCGACAATTGCCTGATAACGTATCCAGCTATTCCCGGGTAGGCCTCTCTTAAACAAACCTTTCTCATATAGGATATCTACAGACATTGCATTTTCTCAGCAAGAGTATGGAGTCACGTTTCTTAGTTGTTTTACGAACTTTTACCGTTTCGTCAACTTCTTGACGTGCACTTTTCCGCCTTTACCCTAAATCAGCCTCGGGTTTCCAGGCGCTTATTCAACACTGTCTGTCTGCTGACATCTGAACACCCTTACAATGAGCCAAGTCATAGCTCCTGCAAGAAAGCGTCCAAGTCTTACACACAAGCTACTAGCCTAGCCTTATAACCTTTCACTCAAACAACAATGAAGTCCTAACGGTTCTCTTGTACCAGCCAAGCTGTACACTCAAGGGTGCTCGTGGAAACGGAAGGTGCTTTTCGGACATTCCGTCTCCAATACCTTCTCTTTTGTCAGCTTCCTTGTCTGTCGCGTATCGAGTCTCTGTCTTGTCCATGTTCGCATCCCTTGCGCGAGTCACAACTGTTTATACTCTCTTTCGAGTCGACTCAAAGCCATCCCTCTCAAGCCGTGCTGTGCTGTGCTGAGCTGTGCTCTGCGGTGCTGTGCTGTGCTGTGCTGTACTGTGCTGTGCAGAGCTACGATGGAACGATGCTCGCATTCCTTGTGCGAGGCAAAGTCGTGTACACACTCGGCGGCCACGAAGCACTGGATAAAGTCCGCGCTTATAAGTTCCTTGAGCAGGTACGCGTTACAATGTGGCCATAACCCTCGCTTATAAGTTCCTCGAGCAGGTACGCGTTACAATGTGGCCATAACCCTCGCTCAAAAAGTATTTGAAGCAGGTACGCGTTCCAATGTTGCCATAACCTCGCTCTTTAAGTCTTAGGACGCGTTACAATGTGGCCATAACCCTCGATTTAGCTTTATAAGTCTTTGTAGCAGGTACGCGTTCCAAAGTGTTACTCAGCTTCCCTGTCGTCAAATCACTAACTCATCTGCCCTCCGGCCTGAAGCAGCCTTGTCAAATCTCTTGACGCTCATTGATTTGAACTGAATAAGCCCTTCTAATGCTACTCTTCTCCTGTGCAGCTCTTCTCCAGCTTGTTCCATCCGTTCTCCCCTTTTACTCTCCTACTTCTCCACATCGTCCTAGCTCCATCCTATCCACGTGCTGGCAGCAACCTTCCGCCTGATGTCAACATCTTCTCCTTTCTATTCCCCTGCTTCTCATCTTCATTCATCCCAGCTCTGTTCCATCCACGTGCTCGCGGCAACCAAGGACGGAATTCTCCGCACCGACCTGCTCACCTCTCAGTACAATCACGCCCTTCATAAGCTCAGCTCGCATATAGGCACGCTCATAGCTAGTGTGCGCGGAACAATACCCCCACGTGAGCCCCTGATTGTCTACCCGGACGCACCAAAGGCCTATCTGACCTGCCGCTCCAGAGACGAGCTTCTGGCCAAGTCACCCTTGCACCCACGAGCTGCCGCTACAGCATCTGCTACAGCCGCTGCCACAGTGACCGCTTCCGTTTCTGCCGCTGTTGCTGCTGCTACAGCCAAGCCCGCTCCCTCTGTTACATCCGCTACAGCTGAGTCGAGCTTGTTTACAGCAATTGATTCTATTGATCCACCGGAAGGCGGGAGGATGAGTGGAGGGAGGTCCAGGCTACAGCAAAGGGTGGGGGGTGTAAATAGGGATGAAGGGGATGGATGGCTGCGGGAAGAAGAGAGGGGCATGGAGCAGCTGGGTCTAGAGAGGGGCATGGGGATGGGCCTAGAGAGTGAGGATAGCGCCGTGAAGGTGGAGGTAGCTGATAGTAGCAGCGGTTGTGAGGAAGATGAGGAGGAGGGTGAAGAGGAGGAGGAGGATTTTGTGTGGAATCCACAGCAACAGCTTCAGAAGCAGCAGCAGCAGCCACGCCGGCCGTACTTGGACCGACTGTCACTGCAGGAACAGCAGCAGGAGCAGGAGCGGCAGGAGCAGGAGAAGAACCCTCTGAGCGACGCTGGAGATTCACCCTTGATCAGCCCACGGCCTGAATGGGCGCGTCAGCTGGCCTTGCTGCGAAACTGCACCAGCGAAGCCACAGATACGGACAGCACAGCACAGAACCATGGAAAGGGCATGGTCACACGTACAGGCAGCAAAGCAAAGGGTTCTTCCAAGGAGGAAGGGGTACGGAAAAGGGGGACAGGGAGGCAAGGACAGGCACAGAAGGGTGCTGGGAAGGGGCTGACTGGAGGGACAAGGGACCGAAGCCGCAATGGGACCGTTGTGGGTTCAAGTTCGGATTTCAGGCGGGCAGGAGGAAAAGGGAGGTCTGTTAGTAGTGGGGGGTCTGGAGGGGCGGGGTCCGGTTTTGATGAGGATTTGTCAGGCGACGGATTGCCGGGTAGGGTAGGTTCGTTCCCGAATCTGTCCCCTCGTCTGGTCAAAGCAGCCAGAGCAGCTGGAGCAGCCGGAGCAGCAGGGGCGTCAGAGGCAGTAGGGGCAGCAGGGGCAGCAGCAGGAGGGAAAGACAAGGCTCTCGTCGTTGCTTATGGACGCTGTAGGTCGTTGTCGTTTGGAGGGAGCAGCAACACGCGCCTGCAGGCTGATGATTGCAGTGGTGACGAGGATGACTACACAGAGGATAGTTTTGATGAGGAGGACCAGGTGGACAAAAGACGTGGTGATTATAACAAGGTTTACCATAGCAGAGGTTCTACTGGTGGTGGTGGTGGTGATGGTTATTCTGTTCTTGGTGGAAAAGGGAATGAGGAGAAGAAGAAGGTGTTTGGATCAGGAAGGAGAGGAATCAGAGAGGGTAGCGACCCTGGGAGGAGACAAGATTTTAACTCTGGACTTTCTGAAAGGCGTGTAGTAGGAGCTTCCTTGTCCCTGCCTCACGATGAAACCCGCTTCTCGCACTCACAAGCTGCTGACGTACAGCACACAGTGCGTGTGGCAGCATCCGTGTCCCTACCTCGCATCGACACCCATTTCTCACACTCAGATGCTGACTCAACTCCAGAAGAAGCAGCAGCAAAGGTAGAAACAGAAACATTAGCAGAGGCAGGGTCTGAGGCAGCTGCAGAGATAGAAATGGCAGGGGTGGAGACAGATTCTGGTTCCGATTCCTTCTCAGGTGCAGCGTGGAAAGCACAGAAGCTGGGGCACCAGGGGGGGCGCGTTAGGCGGGCCACCACTGGGTCAGGACAGCAGAATTTGCCCTTGGGCCGCGTTATGCACACCACAACCGGCACTACTAGGAGCCTTACGGATTCTAGGAACAGTGCTGGGACTGGAGTTAGGAATGGGGCTGGTACCAGGGGTGGGGCTGTTACTAGGAGTGGTAGTGCTGGGAACGGCACCAAAATTGGTGGTAGAAGTGGCAGGGAAGTTGATCATAGGAGTGCCATTACTGGGGCTCGTGCTGGGGCTAGTAGCAGCAGTGCGTTGGCTCGAGGGCACATAGGGAAGTCGTTTTCTCAAGACTACACGATGCAGGTTTTTCCGAGGGAGGAGCTGCCAGGTGGGCAGGGGCAGAGGGCGTCTGATGGTGCAAAGGGTGGGAGTGGAGGTGGGTCGCACTCGCTCCGTGGTGGGGAAAGGGGTTCCGGTGATTCGCCTTCCAGCCAAGCATGGAACTCAGAGGTTGCGAGCAGATTAGCAGCTGTGGGCGCTCGTGTGCTGGCAGGGAGTGGGGGAGGAGTAGGGGGGGGGGGATTACAGGGAGGGGCAGCAGGGGGGGGAAGAGTAGGGGGAGGAGGGGTAAGGGGGGGAGGAGCAGCAGAAAGAGCGGGCTTAGTAGGGGCAGGGTTAGTAGGGGCAGAATCAGGATTCTCAAGGGGCGGTTCAGGGGATGATCTGTTTGACGACATCTCGGAAGGCGACGAGGATGATTCTGACGCGTTTGAGTGGCGCCCATCTCGTTGCCGCGCTCGCATGCTGCGCGGCGTGGCCCGGTCCACGTCAGCAGTCACCTCTCCCACGTCAGCAATGGGTTGGACAGGCTGGCGCGATCTGAGTCAGCAGCAGCAGCAGCAGCAGCAGCAGCATCAGCAGCAGCAGCAGCAGCAGCAGCAGCAGCAGGCAGCACATGCTCACTCGCATAAGCCTCGCCAGAAGCACTCCCGGGAGGAGAAGTCTAGGGAGAGGCCGCACTCAGCAGGGGCAGGCAGAGAGAGCTATGGGGCGAGAGGATCAGCAGAACCGTCTTGGTCAGTAAGCGCTGCAGGAACAGGAGGAGCAGCAGAAAGAGCAAGAACAGGAGGATCAGCGAGCACAAGGCCTGGTTCAGCTTCGTCTGTTGACAGGGAGAAGGGGAAGGGTGGCAGGAGGAGAGATGATAAAAGCGGGGCTGCTGCTGCTGCTACAGTGGCTGGTAGAACCGCCGTGCCTGTGTCGGTGTCGCTGGGTGTGACGGGCACGTCTTTCTCTCCCGGGAATGGTTTGTCTTCGCCTTTGGGTGGCGGCAGCACCTTGGGTGGGATGTTTCCCCGTCACAGCAGTGTGGGTTCTGCTGGCAGGCGTGATAGTGGTGACGGTGGCAGCAGGCACAGAGGCAGTGGTGATGGTGGCAGGCATGGTGGTGGCGATGGTGGGAGCAGAGAGGCAAGAGGGGTCAGGCGTAGGGGCAGCGGAACAGGAGCAGGAGCAGGAGCAGGAGCAGGAACAGAAACAGGAGGGGGAGCAGGAGGAGTAGCAGGAGGAGCAAGAGCTGGAGGAGGAGGGGGAGGTGGGGAGGAATGGGAAGATGAAGGGGCTTGGGAATGGGCAAGGGCTGGATATGAAAGGGGAGGAAGAGGAGGAGGAGGAAGAGACGTGGGTGAAGGTGAGAGGCTAGTTTCCCCTTCTCCTCCCTCAGCTAGAAGACCAATTGCGAGGCGCACGAGATCAGGGGTGTCACACAGTGCAGAATTCATTTCCCTCCGACACGTAAAGGGGCTGTTGCATACAGGCAGCAGTGGGGGCGGCAGCAGAGACGAGCCTTGTTTGGATCCCTCTAGCTTTGGTCAACGGAGCAGCAGCAAACAGGTCGCTGTAACACCTACTGGTAGTTCCCGAAGGGGGCATAGGCAAGGCAGGAGGAGAGGAGGGAGCGTCTCGATGTTGGATTCAGAGGAAAATGAATCCGGACCTGCTCAGATAGACTCTCGGCACTCCTCTCGACCATTCTCCACCTCTCGAGCAGCAGCAGCAGCAGCATCACCAGCAGCAGCAGCGTCACCAGCAGTTGCAGCTCTCTTCTCTTTAGCCCGTCGCCCCCACCCGCCCTTCAGCCCGCGAACCGCTCCCACCTCCCCCTCCTCCCTCTCCCTCCTAGTCTCCCCGCGCTATTCCCGAGGCCGCAGCTTCGGGTTCGGCCGAACCTCCAGCACGCGCCAATCAGAGCGCGAGGAGCAGGCACTAGCAGCCAAAAAGGCCCAGTTGGCCACGTTCAGCCGATGCGTGAGCACGGGGGATTGGGAGGGGGAGGCGAGGGGGAAGAGCATCGGGAGGAGCGAGAGCGAGAGTGAGAGTGGGGAGGAGTTGCAATGGGAAAAGGGCAGGAGCGGGGGCGGTAGCGGGGGCGGGGGAGGGAGGAGCGGGGGCAGGGGCACCAGCGGGGGCAGGGGCAGGCACGGAAACAGAGAAAAAATGTATCCTCGTGAGGCGAAACCACCTGGTGGTGGGGTCAATCGATCTGTAGACAGGTCTACCAGCGGCCGTGGCGATGGCACGGCCGATGGTTACACCGATACCACCAGTGGTTACGCAGACGGCACAGGTGGTTACCACCTCGCACGCGAACCCTCCCTCTTCTCCCCAGTTGCAGAGGACGAGGGCCAGGAGCCCCTCTCCTCCTCCACACTCTCCTCCTCTGCGTCTTCCTCTGCAGCCTCCCTCTTCCTTCGCTCCATGAGCTCTGGAAGGGCCGAAGACCTGCTATTGCAGCAGTTTCACCGCCACCTCTCTCCTGAGGTTCGCCCCGGCACTGCTGGTGGCGCCTGGGGAAGCAGAAACCACGCAGGTGACGATTCGGGTGGTGGAAATCGGAGTTCCGGCGATTGGGGTAGTGGTAATGGTGGGAATGGAGTCACAGGGAAGGGAAAAGACGGAGTGGAGGGACGAGTGGGAGGCGGGCGCAGAGGGGAGCTGGGGCGAGGAGGGGTTGGGGCGGTAGGGGGCGGAGAAGCAGCAGCAGGATTGCGAGCGGCGTTTGTGACTGGGAGAGCGCGCAGCAGCAGCTTCAGTGGCGCTGCCGGTGGGTTTGCAGGCAGAGGAGGGGGCGGATGGGGTGGGGAAGACGACGAGGGAAGCACACCCGGGGGAGGTGCATCTGCGGGAGGTACACCTGCGGGGGAAACACCCAGGGGAGGTGGATATGGTAGCGGGACGAGCAGCGGTGCGGAAAGCACTGGGTCAGTGATTGAAAGAGGCGGCGGTGGTGGTAATAGTGGGAGAAGGAGAAGCGGGGGTTTGGGGAGCGGGGATGGGGGGGAGGGCACTGGGGGGCCGAGGCTGACAGAGGCTCAGAAGCAGCGGTGGCAGGAGTATCAGCAGCTGCTGCCTCCGCTCACGCTGCCGCCTGTGCTGGAACGCAGGCTGAAAATGCAGGAGGCGGTTCTGAAGAGGCAGGAGGCGCTGCTGCTGGAAGAGCTGCAGCAGCAGAAGGCGCTGCAAGAGCAGAAGAGAGCTGAGGAGCAGCGGAAGCAGGTGGAGGAGGAAACTCAGCAGCAGCAGCAGCAGCAGCAGCAGCAGACGGAAAGACAGCAGGTTGCAGGAAAGCAGGAGGCGGATTTGGTTTCACAGAAGCAAGTAGAGCCACAAAAGGGACAGCAGAATCTGCCAGAGGAGGGACAGCAACAGCAACAGCAACAGCAGCAGCAGCCACAGCTACAGCTGCCGCTACAGCCTCATCCGCCCCAGAAACCAAGGCTGGAGCCGCAGCCCCCCCAGCAGCCGAGGAAGGATCGTGACCGTCCGTTTGTGCGTCAGAGGATCTGCCACTCGGACGAGTTCATCCGGCTGCCAGCTGGCATGACTGCCCGTGGGGGCGGCAGCCTCGTCGGCTTGTCCACGCGGGCGCACTGCCTGGCAGCTGCTGCCACGTCTGCAGAGTCTCCTGCGGGCGGCAGACTGAGCTTAGGAGACGGAGGAGGAGGAGGAGAAGGAGGAGGGGAAGGCGACGGGGTAGGAGGAGGGGGGCGAGCGGGAGGAGGAGGAGGGGACGATGGAGGATGGGGCAGAGGAAGGGGAGGAGGGGGAAATGGAGGAGGGGGGGGAGTGGGAGGAGGGGGAGGAAGGGGCAGGGGACGAGGTGGGGGATGGTCAAGGGAGATCCCTGTATCCCTGTCCACATCCGGCATTCCCCCTTCAGTTCTCGACTCACAATCAGACACAATGAATGACGCTATGGCAGATTCTATGACCCCCACACAATCCCCCGTCTGCACGCCACCGCCATACGCGCGCTCGCTCGTGTACGGCCGCTCCCCCCGCACGGCCTTTGACCGCTACCGCATTCGCAGCCTGGGGGCCATCGCGCCAGGGGGGCTTGTGGCTGGCTCCATTGTTGTGGGGGGAGCGGAGGGAGCGGGCAGCGCAGCAGCTTCTGGCGCATCTGCTGCACTTGCTGGTGCTGCTGCTGGTAATGATGGGGATGCTGATACTGATGCTGCTAATGCTGCTGAAGCAGGGGAGGGGGCGGCAGTAGCAAGCTCTGTGGACGAGCAGGGAGGCGGGGCGAGCAGGCTGCGGGGATCAGTGGGGTTCACAGCACCCTCAGGCCTCACCTGGGACGAGGAAATCTCCCGGAAGCTGGCTCTGCGTGGGGTGCAGGTTCGGCCGACCAGCAGCAGCGTTTCAGCAGCAAGCCCCTCGTCTGCTGCTGCTCATCAGCAGTCTAGGCGTCTCTTGACGGAAGAAGGAGCTGATTTTGCCGCTGCAGCAGGAGCAGCAGCGGGAACAGCAGGGACAGCAGATGCAACCGCAGCAGCTGCAGCAGCAGCAGCAGCAGGGGGTGAATTCGATGGTGGTGAGCGCGCGAGTGCCCGCCTCTCAGTCTCTGATTGGGTGCGCTCCTCTTCCACCTCCTCCTCAACTCCTGCCAATGCATCCAATGCTGAAGCCGCAGCAGCACGAGGGGCAGCAGAAGGGGCGGCCGGAGCTCCAGGTGTAATCTCAGGTGGAGACTCAGATGACTGTACCGGTGGGGGTGCAGGGTGGTTGGAGGGGAAGGAACGAGGCAGCAGTCTTTTCTTCGCTGTTCCCGCTGCCCCGAATTCCCATACAGCTACAGCAGGTGTAGGGGCAGGTGGGGCAGCAGGGGCAGCAGGGAGAGGTGGGGACAGAAGCTCCTCTGAAGGTAATAATCGTGCTTCTCCAACTGCTGCCTCTCCAGGTGCAAGGCTCGTGCTTGATTCAGCAGCAGGCTCCTCTAAATCCCTCCCCAGGCACATCTCACCACCATCACCTCCACCATCGCCACCACCAACTGGCGCAGCAGCAGTATCAGGGTTATCACCTGGGAGGTCCCTCCACCATTCCCCAAGGTCACCTACCCCAGTTATCACCTACCCCGATTTCACCGAGCTTACTCTCGACCTATCAGAGACAATCCCCCTCACCCCCTCCCGCTCTGCCAAGGGGTTTTCCCTGCCCGCCTCCCCTGCTGCCGTCGCCTTTGCTGCTGCCGTGGCTGAGGTTGACGCGTCCGGATTCGCTGTACCGGAGCAGATGCTGCGGGCAGAGAAGGGCGGGAATGAGCTGGGGTCAGAGAAGGGCGGAGCAGGAGGGCCGTTTGCGTCGTGGCGCTCCGGGAGTGGTGCTAGCAGCGGGAGCATAAGCAGGGGCAAGGCAACTAAAAAGGTGAGCAGATTTTGCGGGCAGAGAAGGGCGGGAATGAGCTGGGATCGGAGTAGGGAGGATCAGGGGGGTCGTTTGCGTTGTGGCGCTCGGGGAGTGGTGCTAGCTAGCAGTGAGAGCGTGAGCCTTGGCAAGGCAACGAAAAAGGTGAGAGTATTGTTTGAGACGTCGCAAACTTATGGCTCTTGGGGTGCGGAGCGAGTAGTGGGAGTGGTGCTGGCAGTGGGAGCGTGGGACGGGGCAAGGCACAAAAAAAGGTGAGATTATTGTTTGAGACGTCGCAATATTTGGCTCTTGGGGTGCAGTGTGAGTAGTGGGAGCGTCAGCCGGGGTTGGATTGGAAGCTGTTGCAGGGGTTTCGTGTATGTTGTGGGGTGTTTAGAGTGGTGATAACACTGGCAGTGTGGGCAGGGGCAAGTCCAATATCAAGGTGAGTGCATGTGGTTGTGTGTGAGCTGCTATCGTGCAAAGAGTGACAACGTGATTGTGTTAGCACTGCTCTTATCTTCTCCACTAAAAGCTTCTTCGCTGTGTACACTGTACATGCTTTGCCCCGTGAATTTGTCCTTCAACCTTTTGTATGTGCTTGCTTTCTACTGTATTCCACAACTCAACCTAATGTATCATGTGCCCGCCCTTACGGTATGTCTGGAATGTGTGTGTGCATCTATGCATGTGCCTGTAAACATGTGCCTCTAATGCAGGAGCTTCCGACATGCTGTGTTATCAGTTAATCTCTCACTTCAGTGCCGGCTGCATGGTCGGTCAGTGTCTCGCTTCAAGGCGTGCATTCAAGCGGTTTCATATGGTAACTGGCGCATAATTGGCCGTGTTATTCATCTGCTGTAGCTTTCCAGAACGTACCTGTTTAGGTGGCATACATTGGCAGTTTTCTGTTATTGCAGTAGTCCCCTGTCGATGTATATTATTATCGTAGAACTGCCATGTAGTGCATTTTCACCTCTGATGTGCACCCAAAGATAGCTCTGATACTGCAGATGCTATTGTATCTGACAATTACAGTTGCATACTCTGCTTAGATGCCCTGGTGTGGGTACATAGGGTTGAAAGGAATATGGTACTATGTGTTATAGTTCAACTAGTGAACTTGTTAGCACTGAGCCAGCTGTGTGCAGGCTATCAAGTTCATAGAAAAACCGCACAGGATATTAGTAGGAAAACACAGCTAAAGCTCTCTTTCATACAAATAGCATGTATACACCCCTCACATACCAGCAGAAAATCCTAGGAGAGACCTCACATTGCATGTCACCTATCAGCTTGTCACGTAGAAGCAATGTGAGGTCTCTCCCTCCAGCAAAAGGAACTACCTAATTTGTGTCTAATTCGGTGTAAGCAGCAGCGGTTCCAGCAGCATTTGACTGTAGAGCATATCCATCCACGAATCGGGCAGCCCAGGAAGGCACCAGTGCGTACAGTCACCCTTATCGGGTGTCTTGAACGCTGCCGAAACGTCCGGCTGGATTTGATTCCACATGCCGAGATGAGCATCCGGCCTCGTCTCACTCATCCTCGTTACACGCACAAAGCGGAACAACGACCCGCGCAGAGCGTTCTTCTGAGACTTGTAGTAATCCTCAGCTACAGTCAAATTACTGTACTCGTCCATCGCCTCGTCCCACTCCATCGGTCTTGTCGCGCCGCAAGAACCCTCCCCAGGGTCAGTTGGGTCAACTGGGCCGTGCTTGGGCGAAAAGCTCAGAAAATAGGGCATTCCGGGGTATTCAATTCGATTGAGATAATTCGCCCAGGATTTCACGGCGTACCACTGCGCGTTGACGTTGGTGATGTTCGCTGGAGCGCCTTGAATGTAATACTGGTCGGGCTGCTTCGGGCTGCCCGGAAAGTTTTGCGACCACCACACGCCAGTCGAAAACAACACCACGTCGTAATACGAAACGAGGAACTGAACGACCGGGTCGATCGTCGTAATGTTAACCTTGTAACCCGGTGTGCCGGTCTGGTTGGCGATGGGCTTTCGCCTTTCGGATTGCGTGAGGTAGGGCGAGAAGTAGAAATGCAGAGAAAAGTCGATCGTCGGGAAATCCACGCCTCTCAAACCTTTGGGGGCACTGTCGTCGTCGAATGGCTGTGGATTGAATTAGGGTGAGAGATGGATGATGGAAAAGGCAGTTGAGACATGCGCCAGAGAGCCGTTTAAATAACTGTTTCATGGAAGACGCTTGAAATGTAAATGCATAGTAATGCTCCGCTCACTGTGAGCTTACACACTCGCGCGTCCTTTCATCCTACTTCGCTCTCACCTTTCCCTTGTTGTCGGCGGAGCTGATGAGGCAGAGCAGGGACTGATACGCGTTGTTCGTTATGGAGTCTCCCACCATAAGCATCCTCTGGAATGGTCCACATTCCAGACCAGAAAACAAAACAAATAGAAAAGCGACTGGATGAGCATTTAACATTGTGAAAAAAAAAAAAAAAAAAAAAAAAAAAAAAAAAAAAAAAAAAAAAAAAAAAAAAAAAAAAAAAAAAAAAAAAAAAAAAAAAAAAAAAAAAAAAAACGTTTCAGAGGAAAACTCACAGGCTCACTGCCGCAAGTTCTGAAATCCCGTAACACACGCACCTTGCCCTTCATGAGGAAACCCCAATCCTCCGCGGTAACATAACTCAGATCGCACTTCTCCGGCTGCCAGCGCAGCTGGTGGTAAAGCTGGTCGGGGCGGTTGTTGGTTTCGCAATTGAAGCCGCTGCGGATGTACTTGCAGTAGTTGGGCTCCCAACCTATTCCCGAGTACCGCTTCGGCTGATTCACCGCCTTCACCCATTTCCCCACCGAGTAGTCGCACTTGGCTGCGCAGGGCAATCGACGGGGAGGGCAGGAATGGTAATGTACTGTTAGGTACGGGCCCGGCTATTTTATGGCGTCTTTTAATAGCTTCATTGGTTCCAGTTTTATGCACACGGCTGAAAGACGGCAATGAGGGGATGATTTCGGTTTACCAGGGCGAGGATCGGGTGCGGGATCCGCGAAGGCTTGTAGCGCGAACAAGAGAGCGAAGGCAGCAGCTAATAGTGCTATTTTGGCCGTCGCCATGACTGCGATATCGAAGGATGAGCGGGGCTTGAGTTCAGCAACAACTAACTTCGACGGCAGCCAGCTATGGGTAGTGATGGAAAACTATGATAGTGCTAATTTGATTCAAGCTCGTCCTGAGAGAAGCGCAAAGAATGTAAGAGGAACAAACGATGCAAGTGATAGGAATCTCAAATGGGGAATGCTCGATTGTTGGAGGAAATCGTCGAACTGAAGCGTGCTCAACTACCACTGATGCACTGGTCCGGTAGAGCTGGTCTCTCCCACTCCCAGCAAAATGTTCCTGTTTCCACTTCAACTCCTCCTCGCAGCAGAATTGCAAATGTTGCGTTGCGTTCGCCCTCAATTCTGCCTGCATTCAAGGACTGCAAGCAAAACCAAGCCGCTGAAGCTACAATAACGAAATTGTCGACCGACAACCCAATAGCGAGAGCGGTTCGTGAGGTGTCGAGTCCTCGGATTGGTTTGCGACCAGAATGGAAGTGCCGAAGCTTGTGTAACAGGTCGTGAGATACTTCGGTGAGTTCACTGGGCCCTGGAACCCTTGACTGAAGTGCGATTCCGAAATGCTTGGCCCAGGGCGGTGCGGGCTACTTGCCACTAAGCAGCGGCATGCGCCACCAGCGACTGCTGCTCACGAACCGAACCAATCAAACGATGAGGAGATTGGCTCCAGACGGACATCGCGCTGTAAAAATCTCTTTAACTTCACATCCCTTCGATAATGCAGCCATGAAGGAAGCATTTTGTTATGATAATCGTCAACGTAGCTACACCACTTCAGGAATAGCTCATGCTGATTCCAGAATGGAATGTACATTGGTGCGTCTTTGGTGCCAACCAACTTGCCAAGCCAAGATCCCTGCCCATACAGAATAACCAATTTCTCATTGTGCAATTTTGCAATGATCATGAAGTAACCACTACTAACCTGATTGTGGTCAACCGCTATTGAAGCCTTGTTGACACTCAGAACAAGCCCTCAGATTCATTTTTCAGCTGTCTGATTTGTCAGACTTGGTACACGTTTTTAGTCTGATCAATCAGACTCACTACAAAAAAAAAAGTCTGAAATTTCAGATTACCAAAAACAAAAATTCTGATCAATCAGATTTTACACCAGTGGAAAGTCTGATCTTAGGTTTGTTGTAAGCCTTCTTTTTCACTCATCATAATTATAAAGGCACAACACATGTTGAAAGAGTAGGAGAACCTAGGCTTAGGAGAAACCCTAGCCTAGGTGAATGTCGAGAGTGTTGGCCAAAGAGGAGCGTAGAAATGAAAGAAGAGGGTTTGCACTAGCAAGCAGGTGTAGTACATATAGGAAACCCTAAAAGGGTTGTACTCTCTGTTGAGTACCCCACTACAGCCTACACAGCAAATAACATTTTGACACACCCCCATAGGCGAAGTGGGGGATAGCCAATACAACAAGCAGTCGCAGGACCAGTTCACAAGCAAAGTCTAGTGGCAGAAACAGAGGGCAAGTGAGGAGGAGGGACCAGGAGAGGAGAGGAGGAGGCGGGCGGCCGCTGAAGCTGCTGGCACACGGCGCAAACTGGAGCAACTGGCGCACGAACAACCGGTGCAACTGGCACACGGGCAACTGGAGTAACTGGCTCTGCTCGCCGGCAAGAGCAACGGACCCACGGGCGACTGGAGCAACTGGCATACGGGCCCCTGGCGCAACGGTCTCACGGGCGACTGGAGCTGCGGACTTCACAACGGCCACCCGCCTTCAACCTCCTCGCATTGTCCCAAACCCCCTTTCACACCCCTCGGTATCCCTAGCGCCACTCCCCCATCTCCCCCACACCCTCCCCCCCTTCAGCGGCAGCTGCAGCAGTGGGAGAGAGAGGAGGAGCGGCATCGGATCACTCACGCCCGCCACCCCCATACCCTCCCCCCCACGGCTGCACGCGCAGCAGGGAGATGAAGGAGAAGGGGGGGGGGGGGGGGGCGGGGTAGAAGCTGCCCCGCGGCTGCAGAGGCAGGCGCGCGGGCTGCAGGGGCGGCTCGCGGGCTGCAGAGGCGGCTCGCGGGCGGCAGGGGCAGTGCGACGGGCAGGATCCGTCGCGCACCAGGGGCGCGCGACGAGCTGGTTCTGTCGCGCGCCCGGGGCGCGCGACGTGCAGGAATCCGTCGCGCGCCCGGGGCGCGCGACGTGCAGAAATCCGTCGCACGCCCGGGGCGCGCGACGGGCAGGAAACCGTCGCGCGCCCGGGGCGCGCGGCGGGCAGAAAACCGTTGCGCGCCCGGGGCGCGCGGCGGGTAGAAAACGTCGCGCGCCTGGGGCGCGCGACAGGCAGGAAAGGCAGCGGAAGCGATTGGTGGGCCCAACAAGATCGACCAGACAGGGTCAACCTGCTCTGATAGCATGTCAAAAGTAGGAGCGTAGAAATGAAAGAAGAGGGTTTGCACTAGCAGGCAGGTGGAGTACATATAGGAAACCCTAAAAGGGTTGTACTCTCTGTTGAGTACCCCACTACAACCTACACAGCAAATAACATTTTGACACCAAGCATAGTGCATCTTCTCATCATAATTATATTAGTCTACCGTACTCAGATGCAACATCTCTTTGCCTCTTCCTTCCATCTACCGTACGCATATTAGACTCATCCCAATACTTGCTCGTCACTACCTTCACCCGGTGTCGAGTTTCTGCGTAAACACCATCTTCGGTTGCCCTGCACATGCCAGAAAAACTGCTCTGGTGCTCTTCTGTGCAACCTTGCACTGAAGCGGCACATTAGTCTTGAATAGCTAAACAGGATGGGACCCTCTGAGCCGGAAACCATTGATTGATGGGAGCAACCCCGTGTCACCAGAAACGATAACCACAATCGGAAGGTCAAAGCCTCCTGAGCAATAAACACACAACAAGTGAGGCAGAGGAAAAACAAGGAGCATACCACTTACCGAACCAAAGTAAATCCCTTTACTTTCTTCTTGATTCTGGAGGGGAAGAAGGCACCACGCAGATCCACGAGCATGGCATCGTCTGCCACGACAACACCAGGTAGGACCACCACAATCTACGGCTCTAAATTTCTCTCTTTCTCCTGAAGGCTGCTAGCTAACTTTCCATACGCTCTAAACACCAGGGGAGAAGACTTCTCTAGGGTGGATATGGTAACGGGCGTGGAACGTAGTGTGTCTTCGCGTGCTAGCGAGCTAAGCGAAGAATCAAGGTCTGTTCTAGTATCAGCCTAGTGATAGCTAGCTAGAGCACTTGTGACAGTGAGTGAGGTGAAGCACGGAGGTGGGTGGGAGTAAGGGCCGACGACGATGAAGCTTTGACGATCTAGAAGGTCCTACAGATGGATGGTTGCCTAACATGCACGGCAACGACGAGTCGCTGCTATCGTCGCTCTGCTCTGCTGTTCGAAGTGAAGTGCAGCCGCGATGGTCTACAACGTGGGTACTGGTCGAGCCCTAGGTTGCTGTAAAAAGTTGCATAAACGACCAATCAGCAACTGTCTTTGGTATGCACTGGTGCCAACGAGGGGGATACATGCGAATCTTGCATAGTCAAAATCAGAGTAGGTTCGCGTTTGTAGTCTGATGGATCAGAGTACACTCTTGAAAAAAATCTGAAATATCAGAGAAGGATTAAAAAAGAATCTGATTATTCAGAGTTCACACGAAAAAAAAGGCTGAAGTTTCAGAGTCCACTAAAAAAAAAGGCTGAAATATCATAGTTTTTTAGGTGAATCAGAGAAATTTCTCTGACTTCTGGGGGCCTGACTCAGAACCTATTCTGGAAAAAAGCGAAAGTTATTTTGCCTATAACTTATTTTTTTTTATCACTTCAATAGTATTCAGGTGTCAAACTATATGTTTGTGTTCTCTCTAGGCTATGGTGGGTTAGCCTACAAGGGGTACAACACTTTAGGGTTAGTACTTGTACCCAACTCATTCATAGTTCATCCATTCATGCACAGTGATTCTGACATGGTATTCAGAGCAGGAAACCTGTTAAGTTTTTAGGGCCCACCGATCGTTTTGCTAGTTCCTGCCCGAAGCGCCCTTGCGCTGTCCGGCCCTCTCGCACAGTGTCACGCTGCCCTGCAGCTACTCGCACTGCCTGCCCTAGCGCGCTGCCCTACTGTCACACGCGCCCCTGCTGCCCGAGAGCAGCCCCTGCCCCGCGCGCCCCTGCTGCCCGCGTGCAGCCCCTGCCCCGCGCGGCCCTGCTGCTTGCGAGCAACCCCTGCCCCGCGCGCCACTGCTGCATGTGAGCAGCCCCTGCCCCGAGCGCCCCTGCTGCCCGCGAGCAGCCCCTGCCCTGCGCGCCCCTTCTGCCCACGAGCAGCTCCTGCCCCAGCGCGCCCCGTCTGCAAGGTTGCGTCTGCAGGGTTCGCGCCCTACTGCCCTGCGCGTCGCGCCCTGCTGCAGCCCGCGCGTCGCGCTCTGCTGCTCCGCGCGTCGCGCCCTGCTGCAGCCCGCACGTCGCGCCCTGCTGCCCTGCGCGTCGCGCCCTGCAACAGCCCGCGCGTCGCGCTCTGCTGCTCCGCGCGTCGCGCCCTACTGCAGCCCGCGCGTCGCGCTCTGCTGCCCCGCGCGTCGCGCCCTACTGCAGCCCGCGCGTCGCGCCCTGCTGCCCCGCGCGTCGCGCCTTGCTGCAGCCCGCGCGTCGCGCCCTGCTGCCCTGCACAGCGCGCACCCTGCTGCCCGCGCCGCCCAGGCCGAGCCGCGCCGCCCAGTCCGAGCCGCCCTGCCCAGCCCGAGCCGCCCTGCTGCTACTAGTGCT